CCCCAAAACCCCAAAACCCCAAAACCCCAGGTTATGGACAACAAGTTGAATTACTCAGTATATAACTCCTCAAATATAGGTTTAAATGACACTTTTGCTCTGTGCCTTATCAACTTCATTGATGGTGTTAACAACCCATTCTCGATTGAGAACATCTCCAGTGTTAGATGGAACTTCTTAATCTTTTCAAGACCGTTCAACCCTCCTTTGATTGTTCTGTCGTTTAGGTCTTGCTGGATGGCATCTCTGAGGTCTTGAGACTCCACAAGCGTGCCTAAGTCTGTATCCAGGCCTCTGTTGGCTGCCCATATTTTGAGATATTCAGGATCTGGCACAATCACAGCCACCAAGTAGCTCATGGTGCTGAACCCATGCACAAAGATCTGGGCCACAAACTGAGACTTGTTGTAAATATTCTCAAGTTTCTCAGGAGATATAAATTCTCCTTGTGACAGTTTGAACAAATTCTTCTTTCTATCAATCAATTTGACAGATCCGTTAGGTCTAATTTCAGCTACATCGCCTGTGTGGAGCCAGCCTTGGTCATCGAAAGCTTCTTGGTTTTTGACTTCGGCTTTGTAGTATCCTTGGAAAACATTGTGGCCTTTGACACATATTTCACCTCTTGGATATGGCTTATCTGTATGGAAATACTCCATATCTGGAATATCTTGGAGTTTTAATTTATTTCATGGATTTGGTCCTCCAACGAGTCCTAATGTCATATCTAGTTGTGAAAGTGTGAAGCATACTCCCCCTGCTTCAGTCTGAGCGTAGCCTTGCCCCACTTGTACACAGAAGTTTCACTTAATAGTTCTTAAGATCTCTGGCGATATTGGGGCACACCCTGTGAGCATGAGCTTGACTCTCCCTCCAATTATTTCTTTATGCTTATTGAACAAAACAGAGTCCCAAAGAAGGTGAGTAAGCTTTCCCTCTTTATTGATTCTATGCGTTTTCTGCTTTAAAGCAACTTTGTATAGTTTATTTAAGTATTCCTTTTGAGCTATCATGTTATTGACAGTATCATACAATTTTCATAACACTCTCGGAACTGCTGGAAAAATTGTTGGCTTCAAAAGCTGAGCATCCTTAATCACAGTCGAAGAATTTCCATTGAAGTATCCAATAGCAGCTCCTTTCCATAGCAAATAACTGGTTATTCTATTTTTCATAAGCATGAGCCAGAGGAAGATAAGAAAGATATATATCCTCATGATTTATTGGAATTCTATTAGCATCCATTCCTCAAATCACAGCTAAATAGTTTTTATGAGATAGGATTCATCCCTTAGGTGCTCCAGTTGTTCCACTTGTAAACAAGATTGACTCAGTTGTCTCAGGCATTCACTTAGTAATCTCTTCCAATATCTCATCACCGACTGCTTCTCCTTTCTTGACAACATCATTATACATGTGGACTTGCACTCTGAGTTCTTCAGCCTGCTGCATGTCTTCATCTGAAACTTCGTCAAATGCAATTATATGGTAAAGTGTGGTGATCTTGCCTTGTTTGTGAAGACTCAGGAGTTTCTGAAAAGATGGTCCATCTCATGCTACAATTGAGAGTTCTGTGTGGTTGATTCAGTAGCACAAAGACTCTTCGCCAAGCGTGTTGTACAGAGGGACCACAGTTCCTGAGAAATGGAACATCGCCCAGTTGACCAGGGTCCACTCAGGCCTGTTCTTGGAGTAAATACCCATGAATTTGTAAGATTTATCGTTATCACAAACATCGGGAATCAAGCCTTCTGTTAATAGTGCTTTAGCAATGCACTGGGCTTCATGAAGAGCTTGTTTGTAGGTCCTCCAGACATATTTGTTGCCTTCGATGTGGCCGAGTCAGTTGTTGTCAGGGAAGGATTGTGCTGCTTTGTTCCAGCCTTCGAGCAAAGTTTCTCCACCTTTATGTGGAGTATATTCTAAGGTATATCCCTTCTCAATTCAGGATTTGCGGTACAAAACCTGAGATGAATCATCAGATTTTTCTTCTTCTCTAAATTTTGCACAGATATTAGGTGTTTCCATTTTTTATATTAATTTCTACAATATTGCACCGTTAAAACGGGGTTTTGGGGTTTTGGGGTTTTGGGGTTTTGGGGTTTTGGGG